CTCCTAGCTCTGTGTCTTCTCAGAGCTCCCTTTACAGTATCTCGGGAAGCTGAAAAGTTACCAAATTATCCCAGATACAATTCCCAGAGCCAGAATTCCTTGCACACTCATGCATTTGTCTAAAATCTGATACACTTCAGTGTTTTTTAAATCTTTTTTTTTCACATCCAGTCCCAGAACCAAATGAAAAGAGTTATGAAAAGTTTGAACTATTTCAGTAATTGGAAAATAGTGTCCCTAATGATGAGTGGTTTGAATTTTCCTGGAGCATTTTTGTACTTTTATTTTTGTAAGAACTGGTTTCTGGAAACTAGTCAAGTATAGGAATCCAAGACATATTGAAACAATTTAAAAGCCTGTCTTCTGTAAATGTAGGGTTTAAAGAATTTGTAAAATGGGAGTGGTTGTAAGAAATGTTTAAGAGATTTAAATTTGAAAAAAATAAAACAAAGGAAAACAGCATGACCTGGTAGAAAGAAAATAGTATGCTAGAAAATGTTACAAAATAATAGGATAATCCTATGAAAAAGACACTGCACTTGAAAAAGAAATTTAAAAGCTCCCAGTCATGTATTATAATTATTAAATGAGTAAACCTTGCAATATACCAGCAGGGTTATGAGATGCACTAGCAAGACTGCTGCAGTGGCTGTACTTAGGGAAGAACTCAGAGAAATTTGGCCGTGAGTGCTGTGTGGGTCATGTGAAGGATGACCTCTGCCTGCCTCTGTGGTAGGATCTGCCATGGAAACTCAGGCATGTCCACATCTCTCAGTGGTGCTGCTCCCATGTAGTGGGTTCAAGAGCTATAATGCAGAGCAGTCAGCCAAATAATTTATGTGCTCTTTTAGCAGATGGCTCCAAGACCACAGCTGAAACAAGGCTGCCTCTGCATCTCTTCAGCCCAAACCAACACAAACGGGGCACATTTTAAAAGCAAACCCTAGCTTGCTGTTACTTTGAATCTCATTCGTTCATGTTAGAGTATTCAGCCTGTGGGGAAGCTGAGGTAGAGTGCATGTGCCTCCCATGTGCACGTGCACATGCCCCTTCTCCTCCAGGATTTTGGGAAAAGGTGGAAGGCTGCAGTTCTCTGGCTTCCCTCTTTGCTAAGTGGTTTTGTGCCTGGACAAGAGAGGAGAAGACAAGTGTGTGTTGTCCCAGGTTTCATCTTACCCTCTTCCAAAGGTACAGATATCCCATGGGTGTAACCAAGCCACAGACAAAACAGTACAAGCTCTGGTTTTACCGTGGGTGTGCAGTCGGTTTGGCAGAGCAAGTGGGCCAGGGCTGAGGCATCATCCCTCCATGGCACTGAAACACGTGTGCCTACCCAGACGCTGCCAAGTGGTGTTTTAGGGGCCACAGAAGGTGATTCAGAAAAGGTAGGAGGACTAGTGTTGTGGGAGAGATTCAGCTAAAGGCTTCTGGAGCTAATCTATGTCTTATATTCTCCTGTTCCTGAAATGTGATTTTTATAGCCTCTGGACATGCTACAGGAGCTGTCCTTGGTCAGTTTTCTTCAGCACCCTGAAATATTCTTCTTCGTTACTTCTACCAAATAACTGTGTGACTGCATTTGGAGAAATAAAACTCAGTTTTGCTTAGCATCCCATTATCTATGTCAGAATTTCTTATGCACAGTTATTAACCTCATTTAGTAACATCTGTGTAGAGATACTAAGTGTTTTCTGCACTGTAAATGTACCTTCCACAGTATGAATTAGTACACTGATTCAAGTGGCATTAAAATGAAAAACTGTTTTGAACAGCCACATGCATTTGACAATAACTGTGGCAAAAACAATTTTGTACAAATTGCTCAGAGGATCACACCAGTGATTGAGGGGAGGCTTTCCCTGGCACAGTGAGTCCCAGAGACTGAGCCTGGGACAGGGAACCCTAATGGTCTGCTGCTGTTGCAGGTTGGTGTGTTGATACTGGCTCTGCATAGCTGAACAGCTCAGGTCTCTTCCAGGACCTGCTATGTCTTCTTTGTCCTTTTTGTGCTGATCAGAGTCCAGAAGTATTGCTCAGTCAATGATGCAACAGAAATGGGGTGAATACTGTTGATTCATTAACTTCTATTGAATAATCATTTATCTCAGCTTTAGAAGCATTTGCAAAGAAATTACAGATATTGCCATATTTCACAGTCAACAGCTGTTCTTCTTCCCAGGCAGACAGTAAGTCAGAAAACATAATTTTACCTTGCAAGTATCAAGCATGCCGTTAGTGCCTGGGAATTATTCCAGAACAACACATTGGCGCTGGAGCTGATAGTGTCTGGCTGCCCTGTGTGGAGGGAGGACAGTAGGTCTCAAGGGGCAGCCCAAATTCATGTGAGGTATAGCAGGTCATAGCTACTGTGAAATCTGGCTGGGCATTGAGTTGTACTACATGCTAAATTTAATCATCTTTATGGTAATAGATGCAGGAATTACTTGGTCAAAATCAGTCTATGTTACACAGGAAGTTGGAGTAACAAAGTGTTTCTCTTCCTTTGCAAGCTGGTGATCTTAACATTGAAATAATATTTTTAGTGGCTTCCTGTGGAACTCCTTATGTGGAATGACTGTGTGTGGGACAGGGATCTTTGTGACTGTGGGTTTTGGACAGAAATTCCTTACGCTCAAAGGAGGGTAGCGTGAGGGCAGAGTGTGAATGTGGTTTTCTTCCTGTTAGATGATGGTAGGTTTTCCACTGCTTCTTAACTCTCTGCTTTTTTTTAAGAAATAGGACCAGGGCAACATAATGTTCTGTATTGGCTACTCCATGACTGGAGTCCTGAAGCAAATTTGAAATATATGATATGGATGTTACTGGGAATAGAAACCTCTCCTGGGAAATGAATGCCACTCCTCATCAGTGTCTATCCAGCAAGTGTACTGTGACTTTTTGTTTCACAAGAGCATAACTGGAATCACCACAGCTTATACTTGCACATTCAGAAACTGTCTGCCTAGAAAATGTATGTATGTAACAAGGAAAGTTTTAGGGGATGGTCCCTCTACAACTGCCAGATATAATATGAAAAGTTAATGTGAAAATGAGTTGGTCCGTCAGCTACAACGAGATGTATGCTCTCTTCTGAGAGTTGGATTATTGTAATTCAGAAATGTCAGTTCTGGACCAGTCACAGTTGGAGAAGGACACAATTGACTGAGAATAACATTGCTCCATTAGCTGGCTTCATCCTTTGGACTCTTGTGATGTAAGTCAATGATTTTAGCTGTAATTATATATCCTGTCTTGTTTTTTATATTTGAGAGAGGGAATAAATGCCCCATACCACACCACCTTCACTAAAGCCAGTACATCCTGTTCTATTTATTAAATCTTTTCAAGGTGAGGTCACACTTTTTAAAATTGCCCTCAAGTTCTGAGAGTTACAGCCTTAGATTCTTCTCTGTCCTCCCACTTAGGGAGGAATTCCCTCTTCCATGCAAATGCAGCTCCGCTGGTCTGTGCATGGAGGTCTGACCCCATCCTCTGTTCCAATTGTCCCTGTGGGTAGTGCAGTAGCTGTAGGTGCAGTTCTTTCACTCCTGGAACTTCTTGGGTATAAAGCCTGCTGAAGACTGGGAAGCAACAATTCAGACTGTTGTGAATACTGACATCTTGTTTCCTCTGGTCTAATGTGGAAGAAAATGCACTGGGTGCTGCAAGGGAGGACATCTAACATCGCATGAATACTTTTACCTCATGAAAAGGAATATCAGCAGGATGGTGGGAAACTTTCTGCTTGTGAGCAGAAGGATGGCTCTCTCTCATAAAGACTAAACTTCTGAGATCTACAGGGATTACAAAACACCACTGGTCCAGCTTCACCAAGAGCTATACACTGAGTCTCTCACTGAATACTTTCTTCCACATGAATCATTTCATGGAAACTGAGGGGCTGCTGTGGAACTGAATTCTGTGCAGTGACCTTGGGTTCAGTAATTAAGTCTCAAAATTTGTGCTGCAAAAATCTTTCAGTGACAAATAACAAAGGGGAAGAATATTTTATTTTACACTGTTTGTCTGGCAGTAGTTGTAGGATGTGATCCAAACCCATTGAATGTCAGTGACTATCTTTCTGTTCACTTCAGCGGAGCTGACCTACAGGGTGCTTTGTTTTGGTTCATCCTTATTAGTCAAGTTTAGTCTGGCAGTGCTTAGGGGTGAGCCTAGGATGGCTCTGCTCTATTATTCAGGCACAAAGGAGGCCGTCTGGGCTTGTGCTCTAAACAGAGACATCAACAGAGCAACCAACCATCATACCTTCTCACTGAGAGAGGGAGGGGAAAATTAAAAGCTTGCAGCCTTGGAGTAAAAGAGATGGCAAAAGAAGACATCCACCAGCACTGATATTCCCCTGTGATAGCTTGTGAATGGTTTGTCTTTGCAATTGCTTGGCAATTGCTGGCCAGTTCTCATTGCCTGTGTATCCCAGACTCACTGCATGTGCATTCAGGTAACCTCTGCATGGTCTCAGCAGAAGAAGTTAACTGAGGGCCTAAGTACCTGATTCTGATCTCAACAGCCTTAAAGGGTTTATACACCTCTCAATTAAGCATGTGCTGAAGTGCTTTATTAGTCTGGTGTCAGGTGCTCAGTACCTGAGCCAGGAAAGGCAGAGGGAGAATTTTATACTGACTAGGCTCTGTGAAGAAACAGAAAGTGTTTGTGATTGGTGTAGCCAGTCTGGAATATACCACAAACACTAAATTAATCTCATTTGAAAGCTTTGAATTAAATCTGTTTACTGTGATGGAGCCTCCCACAGTTCCCCACCTTCTTTTTGTTTCCTGGTATATTTTCATTTGGGAAAGCTGCAGTGTGAATGTGTTCTCTGTGCTCAACTGAACAGCAATACTGCTGCATTTTTTGGTATTATTGTTAAAAAGGAAGGCCACAACATCATTAGTTTTTCTCCCTTGCTCCTTTAGATTGCCTTGCATTCCTGTTTAGGTCTTAACCAAAACCTACTTACCTCCCTGTTCTTATCCTTTCAGCTTCTTCAAATGCGATGACTCAGCAGCTACAGGATGAATTTGACAGTAGCGTGGAGAATGCAGAAGCTTGGATGAAGGCCATCCAAGAGAGACTGAGGATCAATGACAACACCAAAGGACCTCGATCTGCCCTAGAAGCCAGACTGAGAGAAACTGAGGTAAGGGGAGAGTGATGTAGCCATTCAGAGGTGGCAGTCACTGCTGCCATTGTTAGACCAGTTATTACTGTGAGCTCTGGAGTTGTACATTAAGAAATTGTCAGCTGCCTCTCCTTTTTGGAGCATTGGTCCTGCACGGATGGGTTCACATCAGTATTCTTTCTAATTTTTTCCATCTGCAAAATGTTTACAGACATAGAAAAAGAGGATTGCAGTTTGATATCACAGGCTTCCAAGACTAGCAGTGGGTTTGGCAGGTTAAAATGTTTACAGTGAGCATGCTCAAACCTGCAACAGTTTCGTTGCTGATTGCAATTACCATAGTAATTTGCAGAAGACCAGCATATCATATAAGAGAATCAGAGCCCGTTGGTGTTCCGTCTCCTCCCGGACTCTGGCACTGAGAGGGAAATATTGTAGTGTCCTGGTAATGACTGTTCTAGAGTAATCCCTTTGTTCTTTTCCATAAACCCTGATAATAAGATGGTTTACTGGTCCCCTTTGTCTTCTCTCTAATGAAAAGGTAAATGTTTTCATTTTTTCCTGGTTTTACTTAATCTCTTGTATAACTCTTCTTGCAGAGATCCTGTTGCAGATTGTACCTGCTCTCTTACTGTGATTTCACATTCATTAACTTCAGTTTCATTAGATGTTATCTAGGTCTTGTAATCTCAGAGAAGGAAACACTCCTATTTGTCCCATCTCTACCATTCATGATTAAAGGGAGTGGTGATATTTCTGTGATTAACACTGAAACTATTTTTATACCTTTATTACCTTTAATTCCAAGTAGTCTGTTCTTTAAATGGCAAAATCTATCCCGTTATTATTTACCCAAAAGCCTTTTTTTGTGTGTGTCTACTCGTATTTGGCCTACCTCTTCTCAAGTTTAACAATTCAAAAGAAATTGCAGGCATACATGGAGGACAAGATACTTTACATGATGGTACAGTGACGTCTTCAGCCTTTTTACTTAACTGTGGTCTACTGGAGGATGGATCTTGCCTCTGGCATAATATGGAGACTGTTCATGGAGAGGTAGATGGTAGCTAGACTTGCATGTCAGTCATGAATATCTGAAGCATTTCCTCTTGGTCTATAGTTTTATTTTTCTGCCCTTAAGTTTTCTTTACCCTTTCCTTTTGTCTGGGAATCTATAATGTGTAGTCTCGAAAAACAGGCAAGAAACACAGGAACTTGAGTAGAAGAGTGGTAGTTTGGAAAAGGGGGTGCATTCATGGCAGAGATAAGAAGTAAGATCTAGAGGTTTGTGGTGATTTAATATGGCCAGGACCAAAGCCCATTGACTTCTGTGGGCTTTAGAGGAGCTCTATAACATGCAAAAAGTCATGTTAGGAGATTTTTTCAATTCAGACTTGGGAAATTCATCATTCTAAAGATTAACAAGTGTCTGTTCTCTCTTCCTGTGTTTAGTTTAATCACCTCCTGCTCCCTTGTTCTGCCTCCTTCCTGAGCTTGGCTTCCCTCTCCAGCTCGTGTGTCCTCGTGATGTGCTTGCTGCTTCACTATTGGCTGTTTTCAAATCCAGTGATCAATTTTCAATTCCTTTTTTGCGTCTGGCTTGTCAATTTTTTTCATACTTCCTTCCTGTGGTTTTTTTTTCAGTTAATTTGTTAATGAAAGTGCCAGCCAATGATAACAATCATGTAAAAAACAGATTTGAAAAAGAAAAATGACTGTACAGCCACTGCTTTCTCTCTGGCTGTTGTTTGCTTTCTGTTGCTTGAAAAATGTCAGGCTCAGAAAACAGCTTTACTCTTAAATTTTTCCTACTGGATGATGGTTATGGCTTGTATTTTCTTTCTTTGCCCTACCCTTTGCCATGCTTTCCTGGATTCTGTTAATCACACTTTTCACAGTAGATAATTTGTCCAAACACCTGTTTGTATGTCACATGCAGGTGCGCTGTGTACATGCCAAAAGAACAGTCTTTTCCCAGAATGTGAGACTGGAAATCTGAAAGTCTTTTATTTGGTCTCACCTTTGCAATAACTGACATGCTTTTTTTTTAACAAATCCCATAGGTCTAATTTTTCCAGAAGTAGTTGCTGATTTTGAACCTCCTGGTGTTTTTATTATAGAAGCCTTTTTCTTCAAACTCAAAAGCCTACAGTTTGTCAGGAGTTTATGGAAGAACAGCAAGAAAAGTTAATCTGATGGCATCGGAAGTTTGGATAAAGTGATGTTGAAAGCTGACATCCAAATTGGAGCATAATTAATCTGTTATATTGTACAGAACTTGTTCTGTTTTTTCCATTTCTGGATAGAGGAAGACAGTTTACTTAAAATTAGATGACTCAACTTTCAGTTCCTGGCATTTCTATTTGTGCAAGATGCACGTTTTCACCAATCTGTAACTTAGCAATTAAGGGTCAAAGCAAAACTTGGTAGCAGGCACAAAATTCCACTAGTTAATTTCTCCTGGCTTGTTTTCTAAGCCGACTTTTATTTGCACTAGGAAGCCTTTTTAATATGCTTTATGATTTCTTATATTAGACCTTAAAATTGAGACGTTGCAGTGTACCCTGTGGAGATTGGCTCTACGTGCTTTGGCAGGTGGGGGAGAACAGCTGGCATGTGGCAACATAGTGCTATAATTTATAACAGCAGTGCAAACACAACCACAGGCATTTCATAGAAGATTATCTGTTTTTTCTAGCTAACTTAAATGTTTTTCAACTGCTGCGTGGCTTTAAATTCAGTTCTTTAGAATGTTTAAGAATAAACAAGTCTGAAGAAAAGTTCATATTTTTCTTTCAGGAGAAGCTTTGCAGCAGGGAGTGAGGTGAGAAGGATTAATTGTCAGTGTTGTATAGAAACATTTCCATCCCACCATAGCATTAGGTTAACGATTGAACTTAATGATCTTAAGGGTCTTTTCCAACCTAAATGATTCAATGAATTCATGATTAAGGGTAAACCCAAAGTTTACATTTCATCAATTACACTTGCTTTCTTTTCATGCTTTCAGTTATCGTTTGTTTTTCTCATAGAAAATACGTGCACTGGAACCAGAAGGCAGCTTGAAAATGGACTTGATTCTTGTGAAGGCAGATGCTGCTCTTCGCAGCATTGGTGAGGATAAGAAGCACGAGGTACTATCTAAACTGAAAGACATTAAAGCCTTGTGGGAAGAGACAGCCATATACATTACTCATTGTCACAGGTAAGACAAACTTACTCTTTGGTGTGCTGAGGCAGTTGTCTCATCCCATGCTTTCTTAAAACACTTCCTGCCTCTCTCTGCTACCTTGATTGTAGGTAGAAATTCCTGCTAATAATCTCAGTCCCATGAACATTTTGGGGACTGTGTAGGGAGAGAGGGTCAGTGGGACCTCAGGGCTCTGCCTTCACAGCCTGGCCCAGCTGCCTCATCATCTGGCATGATGAGTTTGGTCAGACACAGGGACCTTGCACAAAATATTTCTTCCTCAAAGGAGGGAAGGCTTGAGAAGTGAATCTGCACTCTGTGAAATCAGAGCAGCTTAAAATTGCTGAGAACCTTATCTGTTGCTTTGAAGGCCTTTTGAGCTTGTTGGTCTCCACTGCTCCCATCTTCATTTCATCTAACACATCTCTCCTGCTCTCCCAACAGCCGTATTGAGTGGGTCTGGCTGCACTGGAGCGAGTACCTGAAAGCCCAAGATGAGTTTTACACATGGATTCACAACATGAGGGTGACCTTGGAGCCTGACATTGAGTTGCAGCTTGGCTTGAAGGAGAAGCAGTGGCAGCTGAGCCATGCTCAGGTTCTGCTGAATGATGTTGTAAATCAGTCAGTCCTGCTGGAAAGGCTGCTGGAGGAAGCTGCTTCCTTGTTCAGCAGGATAGGTGACCCCAGTGTTGACGAGGATGCTCAGAAGAAAATGAGAGTGGAATATGAAGGAATCAGACAAGAAGCTCAGGTACGCTTATAAGGAGTGGGAGGTGTTCAAATTGCACCAGTATTCATACGTTTCACCATACAGTATTGTTTGCTATCTGCTCCTTGAGTCATGCTGCTTGGTAGGACTGCAAAAGGAAACAAAGCTGAGGACCCCTGTTCCTTCAGTCAGTGGACTGTTTGCAACAGTTGTCAAGTTTCAAGATGAGCTGTTAATTGGGATGCTCTTACACAGTACCATATAGTATGTTGTTGAAAAGTAACTGCAAGCTGCTTGCTGTGTCCCAGTGAATATTGCTTTAGGCCATCTCTAATATAAAGTTTGAATTGTTCCTAGTCTTTCAGCACATTAGTGATTCTTGTATAACCAGATGCAAAGTACCCATTCCTAGAGCTAGGGAATATTACAACCATGCACCCTTGTTGGAGGAAGTAACATTAGCCCAGATCCAGAGCTGCACTCCCTGCCTGCAGAACTGGGAAACGTGGAGGTAGGAGTCAGCTGTGGCCCCCCACTTTGCTCAGCTCATCATTTCCAGTATCTGAAGGATTTTCGTGCACACAGGTACTAGTTCTTGCCTGATGCTTATCTTCCAGTTTCAACAACCATTAGATAGGCTAGTGTAAGACATCCTACTTCATTTTTCAGTACCAGTGATTTCCTTTGACCCTGTTCCTGAGTGAAGATTTCAGAAAAAGCTCATGCTTTTCACTTTTAAAAGTCAGGTAAAGACAGGACGAGACCATGTGGTGTGGCTGAGGGGAAGATATCTATGAGTGGGTAGAGGAATTCAGTTTCTTCATAGCAAATCAATAGAAAGGCTCTAAGGTATATTTTAAATATATGTATAGACACATCTATCCCAAACAAAGAAATTAAAACCTGGTTTTTGTCTCACAGTGGCTTCCAGGAGTTTCATAGTCTAGAGTTTTCTGTTGCAAATACAAATAATTTTCATTACATTGGTTCTGCTATCTGCCTCTGTTATAATTCTGCCTTCTATTTATTCCTACACCTACACCTGAGTCTAGACAGTGATGTATGCTTTCCCTCCGTGGGTGCTGTCATACAGAGTTAACTTCAGATCACACTGGAAGAACAACATTGGGATGCTCATGCCATTTCCCTACTTGCTCTATGGATACTTTTAATGAAAAATACCCCGAACCTCTAAACAACAAAAAAATTCTGAGCTGGCACCTTTTTTGAGCATGAAATTGAGGTATTTTTTAGCCATAAATATACAACTACTGCTAATGTCTCTCCAAAACTGAGAGTATATTTTGAAGTTCTGTAACTGCAGCTTCCACAGAGAAGCCACCAACAGATTCTAGCCTCTACACTGATTGTTTATTTTTGAAGGTGGATCTTGATTACAAGGCAACTGGTTTTACAAATAAGAAGATTTGTGGAAATTTAGGTGTTGTCAATCTAGATTGCCATTTAAAATTCTCATCACTCCCTCCTAACCAAGCTTTGTCTTTGGTTTTGAAGCGGGAGACAGTCATTAGTTATTTTAATAAGGCTGTTCTTTCAATCCAGTAATTTGAATACTCAAAGCCAGAATTTGACCTGTCTGAGACTGGTTTTACGTAGTGTGATTTCTCTAACTGACTTGGATACATGCTGCTGTAAATGAGATCAGGAAGTGGCTCACAGTAGTTAGACAAAATACGTCTTTATGTTTCCAGTCAACTGAGACACCAGAAAAAGCTTTTCTTTGGCATTGGTTATAAATAGCACATTTCATAGAAGGATGGAGTGAGAGAATCCAGTTAAGAAATCTCTCTTTCAGGAGATATGGAACACAAAAGGGAGTGGGAAGCCTTGGATTTTGCAACCAAAGTAAATGCAGAGTTCATCATCTAATGCCAAGGCTACAGGCACATTGGGAATCATGTTGGAAAGTATAACACTAGTTAGAGAAACCCTGACATCTCTTCCAACAGGCAGGAAGAGTGAATGAAAGAGACGCAGAGTTGTAAGGGGATTGCTCTTGCCCCACACATGATGAGAGGCGAGGCTAAATGTGCCTTGCAGATGCCAGCTGAATGCCTGAGCTGCCTCCCAGAGGAGGCTTTCTGGTGTTTGTAGATTACACTTGTGTTTGAAGAGCATTTTTAGATCCTGTGCAGTTGTCCAGCTCTATCAGAAGGCAGGCTGTTGGTCAGTGTTTCTTAAATGGTTTGCTTCTCTGGTATGAGCAAATGATGTGGTTTTTGTTTTTTGGTTTTTTTGTTTTTTTTTTTTTTTTTGTTGTTGTTTTTTTTTTTTTTGGGGGGGGGTTGTGTGGGGTTTTTTTGTTTTGTTTTAGTTTGTTTTTGTTTTGTTTTGTTTTGTTAGTTTGTTGTTTTTTTTTATTTTCTTAGTGCTAACGTGTTCTTAACATTCCTAAATTTTAAAAGCACATAATTTTCTTTTAATTGCGTCGGCAGGAATATTTTTAGATGTGGAAGCCGTTTCCTATGTGCTTTCCCTTGCCCAGTAATTTGCCATATGCAGAGGTAGATGATTGTGTGTTTTAGCATAAATAGTGTCTGAAGATGGTAAGAAAAGTTGATATACAGTATGTTGATATTTAGACAAATATATAAAATATTTTTGAGCACAGCAAATTAGTTTCAGTCCATGTTGTCTCTGTTAACTGAAACCTGGATAGTTGTAATGGGTTTGCTTAGGCACCCTAGAGCTAAGACTAAAAGCACCAGGAAGGGCTACAGGAGCTTTCTGTACTCTACTTGAGAATCCACAGTGGGTTTAAAGCAGGAACTTCCTTATGTGATCTAGATTGCCTTCTGGAGGAGACTTACTTGCTTTTGCTGACTGTAAGGGGATCTTAGGGGAGAGGGTTTCCTATGCCTCTATCCACCTTCCTTGAGTACCCAGGGCTGGGCATATCCTGCTTGGACACATTTCCTTCTCTGTAGCCCATGGCAAACCCATTCTTTTCCTGTCAGTGTTCTCACTCTTTCCAGGGCCATGTCCTTCATAATGTCTCCTCACATTAACCAAATGCGTGTGGACGTTGAGTTTCACACTGTCCTGCTCCCTGAACAGTTAACCTAACAGGAGCGAGTGATACCATATTTTCCATCATTGGAAAGTTTTCCTGCCTAACTTCTTGGAGGGCCAACTCAGCCAGCTGTTTGTAAGCCTTTTGTCTGACAACTTGCACAGTCTGTCCAGATCCATGGCGTCTATTCCTTGACCTGATAGACCAGCAGCACACCCAAATTGTGCACTCCTTTGTTTTGGCTGAACAGCCTTGGCCAAGGGTGGGTCATTTTGACTTCCTTTTAACCCCCTTATATATTAGCATAAGATTTTTGAGCTTGATGTCTCCACTTTTGATATTCTGATTTACACCCTTTGGAGCTTCTCTCAGTGCAACAAATTAGCCTAATTGCCTGGAATCAATAAGCTTGCCCTGACTTGGTTCACATGGGTGTGTGGCCCATTTATGCCGCTACAAGGTTGCCTTCTTCAAGTCCCTAACTCGAGGTCCAGGAGTAAATTGTTAAACCTCTGCAGATGTGAGAATCAAGGCAAGGGGATTCAACAATTGAGATATTCTGTGGATACATCTTGGCCACAGAAAACTGCAGCCATAATTCTGCCTTTTGGTCTCATCCAAACGCGTGTATGGGTAGTGCAGCATTTCATCCTCCATGGGAAGTAGTTGTCCCTTAGCTATCACTCTTTTGTCCCACAGTGAGTCAACTAACTTTAGGGGAGTCACTCATCATTTGCACAAGTCACCAGAGACTGCAGTGGCAGTGTAGAAAACACACCGATGTTGTGCCACATGGAGAGTGGTGGCTTTGTACTTAACCTGGGCTTAACCACAGGCTTAACCTATCCCAAAGGTGAACAGCAAAGTCCCGGAGTGACCACAACCCACAGCCCATGGGAGGTCCTGTGGTGACTGATTCTTATGTCATTCTCCTGTTGGCCTGGCTGGAGAATAGACTGACAGAGTGGTGATGGCTCACTGCCACCTCAGGCAGGTTGACAGGTGTGGGGACATGTCCAGAGCATCACAGAGACAAGGAAAATGCAGAGGGGACTTAGCAGCTCTGCCTACAATTGCAGCTGTCACCCTACTCTTCTCTGTGGAGGGCAACTGTGAGGAAGCTCTGCTCAGAGGCAAGTGATGTGTCCTATATTACACAAGATGAAACTCGTCCCATCGTCTGTGGTAGCAAAGACTTTCAAGGGTGCTGCAGGCACTAATGGATTATGCAAGGAAAGGTGGTTTTTTTTTTCTAATGTACTCACAGTGTAGCTCAGCTGCTCTCTGTGCCAACTGGTAAAGGGCAAGAAAAAATCAGTCTGATTTTCCAGAAAATAATACTTAAGTTTGATGTTATAGTAATGAAATAGCAGAGCAGGATTCCTTGTGATTTGTGTCAAAATCAAAAAGGCTTAAACTTCAGCTAGCAAACAAGTCTAGTCTGAGGAAACGTGACTGTCTTGTTGTGAGGAGTGCCAGAGTGGAGCAGCAGGGAGGAACTCGTGACGTGTAGGCCCCTGTAGATTCAGGGATTGTCGGTTATAGGGAGCACACACAGTAATTTGGAAAATGAAGCCTGCTTTCCATAGGCTTGAATTTGCTTCCAGCGTCTTTGATACCACCACAGAGTAGTTTGTGACCTGCTAAGTGAGTAAGTGTGAACGTGCCTAGACTACACAATTGAAGATGATGGTCATTTTCTGTGCAGCCTGTTCAAATAATGAACACTTTAAAACAATTTGCATGCCCCCAATGCAATCTCTCTTATTTTCGTTTTGAGAGATAAGAAAAGTAAATCTGTTGTGTGCTCATCTCTATTTTTAACCAGCAAGGGGAATATAACTGCTTGTGTCCCAAAGTAAAAACCAGAAACAAACTTCCGTCTCTTTTCTAATGAGAGAATAAGATGTTTTGGGTAGGAGAGGCAAAAAATTCACCTGAGAGGACCTCGCAGTGTGTCTTCTTGGAGACTAGACATTGAGAGCCTGCAGCACAGCACAAATAGGGACAAACCTTTATGTATTTTTGTAGTCTGTTTCTCAAGAGGAACTTTGAATTCCTATGGAGGCCAAGTGTTATGGGGGCTCAGGGAAAGGGACTCTTGTTTATAATTTCTGGGTTACAATGTAAAGGAAAAAGAGCCAGATAAGCACTGTCCTCACCACTTCTGATGTCTCTTGTTACAGAACAGAGTGAAACTGCTTGAAACGATAACCAAGGAACATGAACAGTACAGTGCCAACGTCAACCAGTTTCAGTCGTGGCTGAATGGTGTGACAGAAAGATTAAACTGCTGCATTGGAGAAGAAACCAAGTCTTCAGCAGAGGACAAGTTAAAGGCACTGAAGGTCCTTGAACAATATAACTCTAAAAAGGAGTTAAGACTGTGTGTTTTTCATGCCTGTATGTGTTGCTCAAAGGATGTACTTGAGAAAAGAATTATGCAAACTAGATAAGATGGTAATTTTAACATAGGCTAGGGCAGAAGAGTTGTATCAGGTCCTAGAACTCATAGTACGTATGGTTCTCCCAACTCTAGCATGAGTCACAAACTGGTCTGTTTTGTTTTTCTTAAAGCCTGATCTTCTAAGGTTATGTGATTCTTTGAAAATATTGTCCTTTAAAGTTGTTTAAATAAATGGTATTTGGTAAACATGATCCAAATAGACCCTAAAGGTTCACAGATTTTGAGAGTTTAGAGCTGGTGATGAAAATACCAGTTTTGAGAACAATATCCATTTTTTGGTGCCATTACTTCAACTATTTAGCTTTAAAATCTCTGAGATCTAACTATTAATATTTCTCTAGTATCTGCAGCTCCTGTTTTCTTTGTCAGGGACCTCAGGTGACAAGCATTTATGAAAATCAAGCCAATATTTTCAGAATCATGGCAGTTAGTATTACTCAGAAATCAGTAAAATTATCAATATTGGCTTCTGGTCACTTGAAAAAAGATATATTTTTAAATAAGAAGTGAAGAGCAAAGTACATATAACCAGGAGAGGTAGTCTTTTTTCTTACTGCTTTTTCCCCAACTTCCCATTCCTGCAGATAATCTTTATTTAACTTATTTTTGCAGGAAATTGCAAAAGACATTAGAAGTGGTGGAAAGAAATGGAAGCACCTTGAAAATCAGTGTGCAGAGGTGACTGAGAATACCTCTCCACTCGGAGCTGTGAGATTGAAGGATGAACTTGAAAAGCTAAGAAAAGCCTTGGAGAAGTTGAAACTGCTAAGTAGTGAGGAGGAGGAGAGATTGCTCAAGATCCAACAGTCAGAAAGTGCCTATAAGTACCAAGCCAGACAATTAGAAGCAGACATCCAGGAGCTGAGAAAAGATCTACAGAGACTAGAAAATGACTTAAACCCTGGGGAAGGGGAAAAGACTGAAGATGAGCTTGTAACTCTGTGGAGAAAATGCAATGTAAGTTGTTACCTTTCGTACAGAGGATCAAGTGCAGCCCTAGACTGAACATTTATAGTGACATCCAACAGGTGCCTGTCCCATTGGTTAAAAGTGATAAGGAAGGAATATGAATGTACATGAAACAGACTGAGGAAAATGTGACTAGCAACAGTGGAATCAACTGCCCCGGCCTTCATCTCACGCTGCACAGGGGGAGCAGGGTGGGAGGATGTGTCGGAGTTTGTGTCTAGAGTTCAAAGGGACCATATGCAAAAAGAGCACAATACAGAGCAAACAACACAATTTGCTCCACTTAAAAAGAAGGAAATGAATGCCTCACTGTATATATAAATACATACAAACATATACAGACATAAACACATTTCTGGGGTATTTGGTAAGACCATTTTTACATTATATCCTTCATCTGTGTAAGATGAGTATCTGTATTCCTTTACTGGCAGACACATCGTCATGACTAAGAAGTCCCAAGATTGAAACAATCCAGTATTTACACCAAAATCAATGTCGCAAAAAATGAGTGCAAAAAAATTCATCACACATAAAGTAGATAAGAATCTTTACCACTCATTTCCTCTCAAGGGCTGGTTTTGCATTTATTATCTGTTCTCAAAATGCCTTTCATTGCTGTTTGTATGTCTAGAACTCAGCAGGACTAGCTGGGAAAAGTATATGCAAAAAGGATCCACAAAATTTAGACTGGTTCAATCCAGCTACATTTGCATGAGTTTTAGTTGTTTTGTTTCCCTGAGTCACCCTAGAATTAACGTTCTGCATATGTGAGTCTTTGAGAAGGATCTGTTCATGCAAACAGACGCTGCTAAGACTGCTCCAAAAATGCATCTCATGTTATATACTACAATCAGCAAACTGAAACTGGGCCTGTCTGTGATTCACTCTGTTTAAGCAGTGAACCCTGGAGATCAAATGCAGAGGCTGGACAGTGTGAGGAGAGGAGAGAGCCTGCTGGAACAAAACTGTTCCTGATAATGTTTTCTGTCTTAGCAAAGTCCACCCGTTCCTTACGACTAGGAAAAAAACCACTGAAAGGGGACTTGTGCATACCCTGAGAGACAGTCTTACTTCTTTATTTCATGTGTCAGACACTACTTAATGTGTAATTTGTTCATTATTTTTATGACTAAGGCTACAAGAGCAGCTCTGGCTGCAGAAGAGTCAAAGGTTGAGAGGCTGAAGGCTCAGCTTAAGGAACTGCTACGGTTTTCCCAAGATGTGCAGCCACACGCTGAGAGCGTTGTCTCTGCAATACAGCAGTATCAAAGGTACTGGGAAGTCTGATTATGGTGGGGGGGTGGGGGAAGTCTTCTCTCAGACATTGAAGGGATTGACAGGGGCCTAAGAAAAAAGTGATATGCCATCCAGTTGTACATGATGGGTAGAATTGAAAAGCTTTTGCTAATTACATCCACCTCCATGTTCAGTAAAGCTGTAATTTCAGCCATTTGCTGGGAGCTGTAGGCTGCTGGTCATTTTCAAGCAGTGATCTTGCATCATTGAAATTGTGTATGGTTTGAAGGAAATTAGATTGTTGGCAGCTAATTTGATCTTATTAGCATTTTATAATAATAATTTGTGTATTTTGCTTGTCTTTCATGACAGCAACTAGAAAATCAGGACAGGAGCTGTGGTAGTAAACGGTTCAGAAGAATTATGGCCCTCCCTTGTTGAGTTTGTTGTGGTGACTCATCAGCCTTAGGAATTATTTGGCAGAGTTTATTCTCCTTCTCCTGGCAGCTTATGTGCACATTCCTGTTTTCAACTTGCCTTGGGTTGGAAACTCTGAAAGTTTAGCCTCTCCCCAGACTTCAGTGTTTCCGTTTCCAGGCTGCCTGGAATCAGGAAGTAAAGAAGCTGCAGCAAATTTGCAAACCAGAAGAAAGGATCTTTTTTTTTTAAGGGGAAAAAAAAAGGTTAGTTCTTTTCCTGTATCCAAGCTTATTTCCCTCTGTCCAGTGCACAGTATGCTGTCCTGCTGAAAGGGTTATAGGTCATTATGGGAAACTATTTCAGTTTAAAAACTAGCAAAGAGGAGCAGAGAAGGCAGGGAACTTGTCTCTTCGTAGAAAATGGCAGCTGCTCTTTTGCCAGCTTCTCTCCAAAGCTTCTTTGGAAGTCTGGCAGCTTCACACTGAGCCTGGCAGGGGCAGCAGAGCAAATGGCAGAGGATGTGTAAAGTCGAGACTTTCTATTTGCGGAGCTTTTGGCCTCTGCAGTCTTGCCTTTGTTTAGCTCCGTCATGTCCCAGTGACAGAGGTAAGATTGTTGTTTCTGTTTTTAGAGAAAGGTAGTATTGATCCTGATTGACACTGCTCTCACCTGCCTGTCTTGTGAATTTGCAGGACACTGTTCCCATATGAATATAGATTTTGGACTGTGTTTTGCCATATCAGGCAGGATTCTGCAGATTGGGAGGTCAGGAAAGCTGAGAAAAACAGGAGGCAGCTGCATGGGGTGTGTCACTGATGGGCCTTGTTACTCAGCTGTGTTTTGGATAAGCCTTTATAAGAGAAGCCTGGATATTTATTGAATGCTTGCTGATTTTAATTTTTTTTCAATATATATACGCACTTAATATAACTGTGCATGTATGTGGTTACATATTCATAAATACAAAGCTTTAATCAGAATCACCTATATGTATTAATAGGTAGATAGTTCAAGTGGTTCTGCAAAATTTAAAATAATGTTTCTGAAATAAAAATGTATTTTCCACATTTTTGTGGGTAACATAGGGTGATCGAAGACTTCTTAATATAATTTTTTTAAAGGAACAAAGACTCTATAATATGTAAAACAATACAGGCAACTGCAGTTACATTCTAGACACTCTTAGCTTGTTCCTTCGCTCGGTAACTTAGACTGCTCTGATAATATGATTTGTTACATCACCCTGGTGATAGCAGCCAAGAAAGGTCATAAACATGGGTAGACTGCTGGCTACCAGAAAGGCAAAGTAATTCCTGATACACAGTTGCACAAGAGACAAATGTGTCTTACAGCATCTAAATAAAGTTTTGTCAGATGTCTTTGACTGACAGAGCAGCTGTTGGTGTCCAACACTAGGCTCAGAGAGTAAAAAAGACTGAGGCTTTTGTGTTGGATATGGTTTACACATGAGTATTGTGTTAATTCATGCCTTGGTGAATAGGATGTTTGGACTTGGATTTCTTCATAATCCTTCCCTTGGTTGTCCCTTTATCCTTGCAGTGTAAAAGGCAAGACTTCTAAAATGAGCACTGATACAGAGACCCAACTGAGAAGACTCTTCCAAAATCCCCTGCAAAATTTTGAACAGTGGAAGCCATCGGTCCAGATACTCCTGGAGACTCCAGAGCCAGCACTGGCTCACATTGAGGTAGCAAACCTGTTACTAAGTTCAGAAAGGGTACTGGGTTTGCGTTTGACCAAGCCTGCATAGAGCTGCCAGTCAGCCGCAGCTGGAAGGGTCTTTCCAGTATGGCAGGAAAACCCACAGTACAGATGGAGGTCTTTACTTAGTTCTGGCTGTAGCACCTTGTCTTACTTTCTGCCCTCCATTTGTTTATCTGGAGTTGTCAGCTGAGTAGGCTGCATTAAATTGTTAGATATCTTTGACAATGATGATCATATTGTTTAGCATTAGGCCAGATCTCCCCAGGTGGGAAGTCTGTAGACTCTGTTAAGAACTGTGTAGTGATATAGTCATGGGATTATAATGCACAATTTCTGCATGTGCCCAGCAAGGTGTGTTTGTTCTTTTGTCATCCCTGTGATCTTCAGACTAAATGTGTCTGTGAACAGGGATGGAATTTATCCTCAGGATGAGCATTCAAGCTGTCCTTTCTGTTGGTTGTTTAGGCCTCTCCTCTGCACAGACAACTCTTTCCATAGTACAGCTTTCCTCTATTTCTGTTCACAAAATGGATGCAGCCCTGGTGCCTCTAACATTATCAGGAAGACTTTTCCTTTAACTGGGCACTGTCCAGGTACCTTCTGTTACCCCTTGTTGGCCCAGCATGCTGTTTTTACTTGACTTTGTCATACTGCTTTGGTTGTGTGACTTGTGTGAGAATAATATGATTGTATGGTTTTTATTTTTTTGGTAAGATTTCACTGGAAGGATTTTTCTCCTTTAGGCTGCTCTAGCTGAAAGCTCCCAGTTCAAAGAGAAGTTCATGACATTACAGCTGAAGAAGGATTTGCTAAACAATGTCCTCGGTGAGGAAAAAGCGGAGTCTTTCCTTCAAGAAGTAGCTGAAGCTTCAAAGGAGAGAGAAATTCTACACAAAAGTCTGCTGCAAAGCAAGAGCAAACTCCAGGTGAACTACAAAACCCATATACTGTCTTTGCCTGTGACAATGGTCAATTCTTTACTAAGCCAGTTTTACAGATATAAATTTAGTACTAACCAGCCCAATCCCTTTTTCTAGGTTGATCAAATATTCAAATAAATTTGTGGTCTGTTGCGTAGTATAGCTTGGTGTTTGTTCTGAACATGAGGTGGACATTGACAAAAGATAATGCCAAGGGATATATGTTGAATGCTGGATCTTTTTTCTTCTTTCTCCATCTAGAATTTGATATTGCAACACAAGAACTTTGATGCTGGTTTTGCACCCTTGCAGAAGAAATTATCTACCATCAAAGCCAAATTAGATCTAGAGAAGGAACCACGGCCTGACCTCTTGGGTAAAAAGACACAGCTCCAGAGACTCCAGGTACATTACGGTATTGCTCGTCTGTGTGATCCTCAACTAATTGTGGTCTTGTTTGTTTATATTGTCATATTTTATTAGCATTAGGAATTCAGTACCTGTCGCTTCAATTGATTGTGTGTTAGATAATTTCATTTGGTCCAGTTTATGTCATGGAGTAAATGAAATTAAAGCAAGGTAGATGAAGCACTGGCAAACAACTTGAGAGAAGGAACAAGCAGCTGGAAGCTGTTAGTAGCACACCTTCTTGGGCTAGTTTTATTGCTAAAGAAAATGTATTCTGATACTTCCCCCTGGGAGTGAAATTGCACAAGATAACCTGACCCAATCTAACTTCCTCCAAAGGAGTTCCCATTGTTCCACCTCCTTTTGCATCAACCCCCTTTCCACTCTTTACCTTGTCACAGCTTTGACAGATGCTTGATTTGCTCCATGGGCTGATTCATCTGGCCAAGATAAGAAAAAAAATAATAATAAAAAAAAAATTTCCTTTTGGTTAGTGTTTTGAACTGGTTCAGAGTCCAAGATGCAGAGCCTGTTCAAGGCATGCAGTGGTATTACATACCTGGGAGAGAGCAGAGAAGAGCAGGAGGGAAAGAGAGAGGGGATGTGTCTCTGCCATGGTGAGTTGTGGTGATCCAGCGATACTGTGCCACTTTGTCCTTGTTGAACACAGGGATGTTATCACCATGGCTCTTTGTAGTACTTAGCTGGTTATACTATGTATCCTTTGACAGCTTCTCAGCAACTTACCTTGTTTGTTATCTGCTAGTAACATGTAAGGGCATCCAACTGGTTTTTTTCAGAAACATTTACTCCTAGACATCAAAATAACTAATTTTCTTAGTGATTTCTTAGTGCTTGCTGATGGGTTTTTTGTCCTCACACTGCCAAATGTAGCTACCTTTAGTGTATGTTTTGGGGAGGTCCATGCCATATCTAGCACCCTACCCATATCGAATCTGTCTTTTCCTCTGCAGATGATCCAAGATGACTTGGCGGAACTTGCGATTCACATGGAGGAGGTAGAGAAGCTTGTTCAGTCAAATACCACACACAGGCATGAAATGAACCAACTTTCATCTGACTCTCAGGCCTTGAAAAGATCACTGGAGGTAACATAAAGAAGAGTTCTTAGTTGCCTGAGGAGTTGTTAGTTGCCACTATTTAAAAATGTTTAAAAAATCTTTGAGCTTATGACATTAAATGCTTTGACTGACAGATACTTTCATTGCAAGGGAAGAAGGCACTGAATTCCTATGACTTTGATAATTCTTCCAGGATTTTCTGATTATCTGTCATGTGATTTGCCTTTGGGATAGGATACCATCCACACAGATTTTATCACGGATTTTATGTGTATATAAATTTTTTCTGGAGCAGGCCTGAGACTTCTGACCAAAAGACCTCATAGTTATATTATCATGGTGGTGCTTGTACTTCACAGATTCCTGGATAAGGGTTTTGTACCAAAGTGTTTGATTTTTTTTTTATAGCTTCGTGACCTAAAAGTTGATGAGAGAAAAGTGCTGTAATTTCATAAATACTTGTTTTGTGCTGAGGAAATCTGTAGCTTGTAAAGATACCTATAAACTGACCTTCTGAAACAGTCTCAGAAGAAGAGCTTATTAAGTTACCTTAGTTATGCAGTTCACTATAAAATTACATATGTTGAAATGCTACCCAAATATGCACTGTGGAATTCTAGTTTCAATCTGAATAATCCCATTTATCACTGAATTGGACTTTTGCCAGAAAAGTCTGTACAGTCATTTCTGATTCAGGGAGTGTAAGATGTACAAAAAATCCAAACATGCATATAGTCTTTATTCTGTTTCAGTGAAGGAAGGGAGCTATTGTAGTTCTTAATGTCCCCCCGTGTGGTTGAATTCAGGCCTGCAGGAGCTTGAAAGGTGTTTTCCACACTACTGGTGCCAAAGGACAGTTTTTTGTCTCTTGTTACCAGCTGTTTTTTTCCTCTTTGCCCATGAGATTCTGTGCCCATCATAGTGTTAGACCCAGTAAAGACACTTCTTTTTGTCTGTTTTTAGTTGCTGACATATTTTTATAATTTGTAGATGATGATACAGCAGAGTGAGGACCACGTTCAGAAGCACTGGGCATATAATGACAAACTGTCGGACCTCCAGCAGTGGATCACAGTAACCACGGAGAAGATTGATTCCTACCAGGATGCTGATGGAGAGCAGAACATCGAGGGCAGGATAGAAGACCTTGAGGTGAGAAAATCATCTTAGTTTAAGATGTTAATTATTCACTTTGCAGCATTCAGACATTGAGAATGGGGGTTTCTAGTGAGGATTTCCTGGTTTGGGAGAGTAGTGATGGTTTGTTCCTCCTGTGATAACTATTCGTTGCTGCTGCCTTCCTGCTTTGCCCTCTGTTGTGGGACATGGAGCTAGGTAAAAGACAAGAGCAATGAAAAATGGCTAAAACTGTTGAGATGGATAAAGTATTATCAAAGGATAGGTGGTTTTAAAAAGAGCTCTACCTGTCAGGGTGATCTCCCTGGACAATACCTGCCTTTGCCTGTGTGTAATCATCGATACATTGAACATTACTGCCATTTTAGCCAGCTTTAGACTTTGTTGAACTGAGCTGTTCCAAAGCTGCCAGCTTTTCCCTGAATAGCAGTACTTTGGGTGCTAGAGTTGCTCTGGTAGGTTACTTCAGCTGGCAGCTTTTGTCTTCCTATGGGAAACTAAAAGATCTCATGGGAAGGTTACGGAAGGAGGTGCATTGACAACTTGCACCCTTTAAGTTTTGCCATCAGCTCTTTGACCTGCATTGGCTCTTTGCAAGAATCCACAGCGTATTTTTTTTCCCGCTAGGTATGTTCTAGCTAGTGCCAACAGAACCAGCATAGTCCTGGACTGAACATGGCCTTCAGTCTGACATAGCCTCTGCTTTACCCAGGATACCTAGAAGTAATTGTAAGGCTGTGCGTTTCAGAGATGGCTAGCTGAGTTTCCAGATAAGGAGATCCAGCTGCACCTTGTGGAAGCTCATGGCCAGATGGTCATGGAGAATTCTTCTCCAGAGGAAACTGCCCATGTCCAGGCAGAGCTGGATCAGCTGAAGGAGTCATGGAAATCACTTAAGGAGATGGCAACTGGGTAAGTGTTCATGTAGATCTACCTCATCTCCCTTCCATGGGATGCTCTTTACTGCTATATGACCAGACACAAGTGATGCTGTATGCTTTGTGCTGTGAAAGTGAACAGCCATGTTACAATGCTAGAAGCAGGATGAGATTTTATTTAATACTTTGTAAACTGAAAATTGCTACTTTCAAGAAAACTATTTTAGAGAATCCATGAGCCAGAGTCTTTGAATCTGCCTTTACCTCATGCTTGGAGTAGGCAGTGTCCTCTTAGGACCCGGCTTACCCTTGCATTGTCAGTCCGTGTTGGAGGAAATTGGGCATAGACTAAGTGATTTCTGCTGTTCTGTCTCACCTTCCTCTTCTCCTTGCTTTCTTATCTGGAGATACCTTCCAGGAGGGTATATCTGCAATGGGACTTGTGCCTTTTGCAAACTTGCAGAAGTATAAGCAGAGCTAAAATCCTCACTTAGCTGGGAAATGAAGACTTAATTTATTTGGCCTCCACTGTGCAGTGTCAAACTATTGCTCATATTTGCTAGTCTGTGCTAAAATTTAATACTGTGTTGCATGCACGATTATATTTGTATATAGTGGCAAAATAGGCATAAAAATGAAATTACTAACTTGAGGAAGGCTTGATTGTACTGCCTCCTGTTAATAGAAAGGAAGGTATATTGTCAAGATAATATTTTTATTCCCCTGAATAAAAGAAAACAAAACACTTGGAAATGTTAGAACCAGGGTACTGGTGCTGCTTTGAGACACTCCTGTCTTGCTCTTATTTAGCTAAAAAGATGTTGGGAATAACTTGTAATAGTAATAGTGCTAGTAATAGTAATAACAGTATAATAATAATAATAGTGCTGTTTCACTAGAGCTGTTCTCCATAGCCCCAGTCAAAATATGAATGTCTTACCATTAGATGTTCCACTGCACTGATGTCTCTGGTTTTGTGTTTTCAAGTCTTCTTAAAAAGTGGCAGTTAGATAGACCAGTGGCTGATAAGAAGAAAAGAGCACTTGTGGACAGCAGATGGATGTCTAGACCTGCCTTCCGTCTTTTAAATGTAGATCCCAACCATAAGCAGGTGAGATGGGTATCTGCCTTCATATCAGCTTCACAAGAACGATTTTATTGCCTTGATCTGATATTATGGGTTACAAAGTTGGAGGTTAAGATCTTGCAATCGGGCCTTCAGAGGAAACATCTGACATAACGGTAAAGGGGTTTTTGTTGCTATTGTTCTGTAACCTAGGAGAAGATGGGAGAAAGGCAAAACACAAGCAGCCAATTGAAGCTCCTACACAACTTTGAAGAGTGGCTACTAGGAGAAAACACTGAACTGACCAAAATTCTTGCTGGGACTCCATCTTCTACAGAGGAAATTAAGGCACACCAGAGCAAACTTGAGGTTAGTGCTCAGTAAGTGAAGAGGGAGACAAAGATTGCAACAAGTGAAAGTTCTTTCAGAACTAAAAAAACCCCCAACAACCAAACCCAAACAACAACAACAACCAAAAAAACCCAAACCACCTCACGAACTAAGCAACCCCAAACCCTTAAAAAATCCCCAAAGAACAAACAGACAAAAAATTCAAACGCTCTACTCTCTGCTTTAGAAGACTCTAGAGTAGATGAAGCTCAGAAATTTAAGACAAATTTCGTCTCTTCTACTAAGAAAGGTCTGCCAGAGGCAGAGTGGTAGAAGGAAGGGAGCACCTGGCATCTACCTGTTGGGCTGGACATTTCCAGTGTGGGATGGTAAAGGTGTTCATTGAAAGAAACTGATTAAAATCAGTGTCTGGTATTTGGCCTCACTCTGAGTATGGCCAGATGCAATGGCAATGGAAGCTGTAAGAAATATAACAAACAGAAATATCCAAGGTTGCAGGAGTCCTGCAGATTAACCTTTGGTATCATTTCAGACCAAAAAAGCAATAACAAAAATAAATGTGCTATTCCAGAGTACCCAGTAGTTTGATTTAGTACCACTGTTTTTTGGAATGCTAGTTTAAAAATTGGAGCCTTCTGTAATTCTGAGTTGCTGCTGACCTTCTGTTCGCCTGCAGGAGCTGCGGTCTCATGTGCCTGATGGTCAGCGTCAATTTGAGGATCTTCTTCATCTTCATTCTGTCATTGGAAATTCTGAAGATCTGGAGGACCTGCGTTACCGATGGATGCTCTACAAATCTAAACTGAAAGAGTCCCTGAGTTTGCCAGTAGGTGACAACTTACAATTCATTGGTGACCTCTGCCATTGCTCTTTTATGTTGCTTCACATTGCTAGTCTTAATTCAACATTACACATGTTAATTACTTAAAGCAGTTGTGTGCCATCTTTTTCCCTTTGTAAGCAACGCTCAAAATATTTCTCAAAATGGAAGTTTCAAAACAGAATGACAATTGGCTGTTGTCAAAGAAGGATGAAGTTTGGGACTGAGAGGTATTTGTGTGTGGGAATAGTCTGGATATATGCCTAGTTCTAGGTACGTGGATTTCTATTTTTTTGCCCTTTCTCCACACAACATTCTCTATTGATTTTTTATTTTGACAGTTCCTTCAGTAAGAATGTATTTGCTGTTCGTTATTTGTGTCTCCTGCTCTGAGACAGAGTGATCAGAATAGTCACTGACTCAAAGTAACTGTGCACAGAAGGACCTAGTCCTTTTCGAAACTCTCTTTATGGGCTAATGATTTGGAATGAAATAAAAAGGAGGTTTATTAGTGCAAGAACCAAATTATTAAAGAAGTTACCAAGTTCTTGTATATAAGATATGCTAAGGATGGCAGAATTCATAAGATATTCCAGGGCATGCTGAAGATCTTCCCATGTTCTTAGCATAAACATATATAATTATTAATTAATACTTTTCTTGCTAAACTACTCACATTTTGTGCTCAACTTCAAGCTACCGTAAGCAGAGGATTAGATTTTACAGGTTTGCTTACTTTCTGTATGCAAGTGCTTTGTAAGGTATCTGAACTCAAACACCTAAAATTTGAGACATTTGAAAAATTTCTGCCTTGGAAACCTTGTCTTTGAATCCAAAGCTTATTTAGAACACAAATTCTTTGAAGTGCATGGAAGGTAAGCATGACCTCTATCAATAAAGAGTTATATTTCTGAGAATTGTTTGCTGTTGATTGTAATGACTTACACTTTGTTAACCAAAACCTTCTGTAAGCATAAATATGGTCAATAGGTGTCAGTAAAGTCAAAGCAATTGCTGGGAGAACTGCTCATCAGATTCAAATAGTCAAGAACCTAAAACCATGTCATCTTTCTGCCTAAGGGGTGTTAAAAAGATCATTAAAAAAAATCTCCTGCTGGTTCACTCTACCCAGGTGATCACAAATTTGAAAGAAACATCCCCTGTGAGGTGAATACTCATTTATAGGCTCCACTGGGATCTTAAGTTTATGCTTTTTTTTTTTTTGCTTTTTTTTTTTTTCTTTTAAACAGATTCCTGGATCTTGGGAAGAACCAGACAGATTCAGAAAGGTATGACAGTTTCCTATCACTGGCTAAAAAATGTTCAATCAGACATTTTGCAGAAAATGATTTTAAAGTTTTCTAAAGAGTCTTGAGATTAATTTGCTTATTAGGAGCCACTCTTAAAGAAGTTGTTGATTTTCTCCAGATTTTAAGAGGAAAGATATTACAGAGTTTTTACTCTTGAGCTATGCTTACTGTTTCTCTAGAAGCTAAATATCCATCTCCTGGAAGAGGAGGGGAACTCAATTCTTATATATCTACAGGCTATATGAATTTAATTCATTTTCCAAAAGAGACTAAGGAAGAACCTAAATATCTCTCTGAAGCATTTAAGGGATAAATACCTAAAATCATTTTCAAAATGGGACTCCTAATTCTTTAGACACTTGTGAAAAATAATGCTTTCGATCATTCAGCCCACCTTCTTTCTAATGCAGAAAACCAGAGAAAGGCAAGAGATTTGTCAAATGTTATTGGACTAAATCCTTATTCTAAGCAGCAGAATTCCTCCTGTGAAGGATTTTCTTTTCAAAGTGATGACATAAGAAACAGAAGCAGTACAGGAGATGATAAGGAGAAATTTAAAGAAAACAAAATGCTGCCAGTTTCTTATTAAACCAAGCAGCACTTCTGATCCCATTTTCAAAAAGTCAGCAAGTTTTTCTGTTGAACTTAGTGTTGAACTGAGTCTTTTCTCTCTGTTATGATTTGCTTTGTTTACAGATGCTGTTAGGTTCTACTTTGTACTGTCATCTCACTTTCCATTCCTTTTCAGAAGGAATAGAATAAGGCTCTATTTACCCAACATGAAGTAGATTGAATGAATAATGTGTCACAGGAACATAATCACATAGTCATTTTAAGCTAAATCAAACCCTCAGTTTCTCCTGTTGCAACATCTCTTCAGAGGAGACCAATATTTAAAGGATGAAATGCATTGCACTTCTTCTAGTGATGGCCAGAAGGCAAGATTTTTCTCATTCAGATGAGATATTCCTCTGATACTCAAATGTGGAGTAGCATCTCCAGTATTTTTCCCCAGCAAAATACTGACCAGTTTTAAGGTAATTTTCACATGTTTCCTGAATAGTTTTGGCCTCAGTTCAGTCTTCCCGAAAACCCCCAAAGAGTTTCTGTTCTTGCCTGTCTGGCTCAGCATTAATTGTTTCACTCAGTAAGGTCACCAGCATTTTTCAGGCTGGAAAAACAATATGACATTTTAATACTTGGTGTAGAGGCAGCCAAACATTGAGTAGTGCTGCTTTTCCCTAGAAGAGGCCTTAAGGGATATTCCAGAAGACTGACCAAGGAATTCTCTGATTTCGTGTGATTTGATTGAGTCAAGTTTGTTATAGCAAAAAACAACCCAAAAGCTTTAGGCGTAAGCACATCTCTGCTACAGTTAGATGCCATTTTTTAATTCATCTGCCTCACCTGCCTGGGGGTACGTGGTATATTTATTCATCCTTAAATTCTCCATATTAGACTAAGTCTTCAGTTAATTTTCAAGGATGCTGGAATAATATAATGGCACGCAGCAAATGTTTGTCAATTATTCTTACAGCAAGAGCACAAAAAACACCTTCGGTAAGTTTTTAATAGCTACTGAACACAAACAAAGAGAAACAGCTCAGGGTGAGAAGGAATGAAGAACTGAAATACCTCATAAGCTTGAGGGAAATGGCTCCCATTCACGAACAAGTGATTTGCAGTTTCCCTTCAGCCTGTACAGATGTTGCGGTAACTTAGACCCTACTCACTTCAGGGAGATTTTGCTGACTTCAGAGATTTCATTCTGTGTTTAAATAGTATCACTACGGTGGGAATCCAAGTGCTCTAAGCAGAGATGTCTATTTTTTTTTTCTTTTTCATTCAGGCTAAGGGTTTTATCAGGATGTAAACCTGTGTTGCCTTAAGATTTTTGAGCACTATTTAGGAAAGCCAGAAAATAATATTGATTCCTTTCGGGTGCATCACTGTTTGGGCTAAGAGAAGAGGAAAAGCGAGCCAACTGCAGAATTCATGGCTTTGCAGTTCACTTTAAATTCAGATTTAACACCTAAAACGTTGCTAGAAATAAAAGCAAGTTTAGGTAAAATATTTTTGTGTGTATGAATATCCTTTGAAAGCCTTGGTGAAGGAAACCAACTGCCCTGAGAGAGCAGCTGATCTCAGTTACTCTCTGCAGGAACAGCACATGGCTGGGGGCTGCATCACTGTGCTTGCAACATCCAATGAGTTTGCATGCAGTAAGATCAGGTTGTCTCTAATATGTCCACCCTCTCATGCTTTTGAGCCACACAAAATAAGTAAAGTGTCAGAATTTCAGGTGTTTTTGGACTGATCTCTGCTTTTTGCAACAAAAGGTCCCCAGTGACTCTGTTCATCTCTCCTGTTTGAGCTGTGAATATTTTGCAGCAACAGCAGATCAGTCTGGAGAAGCAGAAGACCCAGCTGCAACCAGTCTCATTCCATTACCTTCCAATTTTATTCCATTTCTAGCCTACATGACCAAATGTTGGGCAGAATAGAGCCTGCTCCATGTATAGTAATGTGCTTTTTTCCTGATCATTCATCCATTGCTGAGGACATGCCCCCAGCCACTGGTGCCCTTAGGAGCAGTACAGGCTAATGACTGCGATGTGAGCAACTTCTTGTTGATTAACAAAAAACATTTGCAGGAAATTGCACTGGCTGCAGTGAGGTTTTTAGCAGGTGCCAGTGACAGGGCAATGTAGATGGATTTTTCTGCAGGGTACCTAGCACACTCAGGAACATAATCAAGCAAATGCTCAATAATAACTATGATAAATGTTACTTTCAAAGGTTGGCTCCCAGCTACCTGAAAATATTCCATGAGCATTTTTAGCACAAATAGGAAGTCAAAGCCTCATTATTTACAGGTCTAGGTAGCACTGTTTGATTTATTTTCCTGAGTGCTCAGAGTAATTACCCTTCCTTGCTAAACAAATGATCTGGCTTTATTGTTTGTACAAACAAAATAATTAGAATTCATTACATCAGTGGTCAGCTAATTGCTTCCTTTGAGATTCTGCTAAGAGTAATCTCCTATAACATACAGAGAGAAGGAACATGTAATTTAATCTTGTTTAGAGACACCATTGATCTGGAGTCAATCAAATTAATGCAGTCATTCAGGAAACTATGTGAAGCAAGAGCTGCCACAGCTTGCCAGGAAGAAAACAGTAATGTGCTCTGCTCTGCTCAAGTGCAGATATGACAGGAGTTCCTCATGGCGGAAAGTCAGACTACAGAAAAGCACAGCATTGTGAGTTAGTGCCTGTGTTAGTAGTGCCTCTCTAGTGCAAGTGTGTGGCCCATTTTTTTTCCTGAAGTCCTGCTAGGTGTTAGGTACTTGAAATCTTCTGTACAATTACATTCTCATTAAAATGAAAAAGACTTATTAAAAGGTATCTTTGCCTCAGTTTTCAAGACCTCTTTTATAGGTACAGATAATATCTCTCTTTTTTTTTTTTCATCTCTGAGCCTATAAGCCTGTGCTTACCTTTTTTAGGAATTATACCATGACCTAAACACAGAAAAAAGGGCATCTTAGTGCTAAAAATTAGCAGATGGAATTATTTTCTCTCAACAGTGATGTTTGTTCTAAAGGAAACTTAGTTAAAAAAAAAATTCCTGAAAATCCTGACTGTCTCTTCCTGACTCTGACCCACTGCTAAGTATGCTGAGCCAGGCAGCAGCATCCCCTCCTTTTCCAGCAGGCTCACAGGCTTCCCTTCATGTTACTGCACCTGTGAGACTCCCTGCCTGTCTGCTCTTATTTCTGTAGGTTTCAGTTGTTTACCAATTTACATTACAGTACTCCCAAATGTTAGAGGCTCTTTGTTTGTTGTTTGTCTGGTCCTGCCACATTTGTGCCTTGCCGATGCCCTCTCTCTACAGTAGCGCTGGTGCACGGTGGTGAAGACATCTTGCTTCCCAGGACATCTTGTTCTTACTTTCTTTTCAGAGATGCGTCCTTTCATAGCCTGCCATGTTGTGAAATATTTGCAGATTTTCACCAAGGAGATAGCTCAGAATGATTTTCTCAGCAGATATAATTTTACCTCCTAACTGAAAGGTAACAAGAGAGAGAGGGATTTGTTGAGCGACAGCAGAATGCAACCAATTTTCAGTATCTATGTGAAAAATGTTTTTAACACTACTATAAAAAGCATGGTAAGAAAAACTCTTCAAATCGTTACTTCAAATTGTATTAGTTTTTGAAAAGTAAGCCATCATATTTTTGAATTATTTAAATAAAATGCAAACAACATTTAAATTATGTATAATGACTGCTGAAATTTAAGAAAAGTTTGATCTTGACTTGAGAGAAGTCAATGGTAAAGCAGCTGGAAACATACATTGTTGACATGATAAACTAGCTCTCCTAAAAGTAGTACAGCCTTGCTCTTAAAACATATAGCAGTGCTGTGGGGGTCCTAGTTGATGGTGAGTTGAATATGAGTCAGCAGTGCCCTGGCAGCCAGGAGGGCCAGTCGTGTCCTGGAGGGCATCAGGCAAAGCATCACCAGCCGGTCGAGGGAGGGGACTGTCCCACTCTGCTCTGCACTGGTGTGGCCTCACCTTGAATATTGTGTGCAGTTTTGGATGCCACAGTATAAGAAAGGTATTAAGCTATTGGAGTGTCCAAAGGAGGGCAACAAAGATGGTGAAGGGCCTTGAGGGGAAGCTCTATGAGGAGTGACTGAGGGCACTTGGTCTGTTCAACCTGGAGAAGAGAAGACTGAGGAGAGACCTCACTGCAGTTACAACTTCCTTGTGAGGAGAAAAGGAGAGGTAGACACTGATCTCTTCTCTGTGGTGACCAGTGACAGGACTCAAGGGAATGCCCTGAAGTTGTGTCAGGGAAGGTTTAGGTTGGATATTCAAAAGAGGTTCTTCACTCAGAGGGTGGTTGGGCACTGGAACAGGCTCCCCAGGGAAGTGGTCACAGCACCAAGCCTGACAGAGTTCAGGAAGCA